GGGGGGGAGGGAACCCCAACAAAAATCCTCGGGGCACATACATGCTGAGGACGTGGATTACTTCCCAGCGACTTGGTGAGAACATGGTCCCCAGCCTTGGCCAATTCCCGTCGGGGAGGCCCTCGGATCGGTGCTTTCACTGCTCGCTTTGGCTCCAGGCCACCGCGAGATTTATTCGCATGATTAACTGTGAGCGCGTTAATAGCCCTTTTGAAAGAACAGGCACACCTCCCGCGATTTCCATCAGCCCCCCAGAAGTGTAATGTTTCTTGGGCGAGGCGTGTACCGGGAACGCTGCACCTTCGTCCCTTCCCTCGGGGGAAGTCTTTGTGAAGGAATCCAGGTATCCCAGGGACGGGAAGATGTTTTGTAAGCCTGGGGAGGTGTTCTCCACGCAGGGGAGTTGTCCTGTAGTAGCTGTGCCTCCTTCTTCTTTGCTTGCCCCAGCTGGGTGTGCAAAGCTGGGGCTACAGAGGCGGAGCAGGGGGAGCTGCTGTACCTCATCTGCAGCTCCTACCTTAATAAAGCAAGCTTTCCCTTGTAGATAAGCCTTTATACGAACATCTGGGCTGAAAGTGAGGGAGCCCCACTAACACTTGAGCTGCGGAGCCACAGCCTTAGAAATCCGCACGTCCAAGCGATCAGTTTTCATTACGTCCCAGATCCTGAAAGGCCAAATTCTCAGTCCTCTCAGGGGGCAAAGCAAGAGGAGTTTCCTGCCATCCGTGGCTTCACAGCCATGAAGCCATGCATGGGATAAGAGAATAAAATTGTATCAGATCAAAGTATTTAACTGAAAATGAGAATGAAACACTGGTCTCCTCCTCTGCTCCAGTGATGGGAGTGAGACGCAAGCACTTCAAAGCGCCATTTTTTTGCTTTTTATTTTCAGCCAGTTCTAGTAAATGGAGCCCAGCCTGCCCCGATTTCCACTTTTTTTGTCATCTCAAGTGCTCACCAGACTCCTGTTCCACTGCTCCGTGTTTTTGCATTCAACACCTGGGACTACCTGGTCACCTGGGGGCAGAAGCAGCAGCACTTGGACTCTCAGCTGGGATAAACTGATTTCCAGGGCGCTGAGCTGATTGAAGCCAGATGAGCCCTCCTGGCTTTGGTTTTTTTCCTTCGGTTAATTTTACAAATCTCTATAATATTTTGTTTTTCGGGACAGTGTAAACCAACAGAAGACAAACAAGTGATAACAGCCGTTCACTCGCACGTTATGAATCGGCGGCAATCAAGCAGGAGTAGCACGCCAGTGAAGAACAGACCCTCAGTATCCCCACAGAAGGCACTTGTGAGTGAGAAAGAAAAGGAGAAAGAAAACTATTGGGAGGTCATTTCCCCAAGTTTTCCCCTAAGCTGCCTGCAATGTAAGAGCTTTCATTGCATTTACCTTCAGCCATGCCAATATAACCACACTGCCCGTCCAGATTCAGGGGCAGCTGAGGGGCGCAGGGGCTATCCGCATGGCAGCCACCGGGCTGAGCGTCCCTGCGGCAGCGCTGGCGCCGATCTCCCTACATGCTGCCGCCTCCCCTGTGCCGAGGGGGTAAGGAAGGCTGTGCGAGGCGACGTGACCGGTGCAGGGTCACCCCCGAGGTCACCTCCATTCGGGAAAGGAGCTTGCCAGCTCCTCTCCCAGCCAGCGTCGCGAACCCTATGGGGAAAGTTTCCTAGTAAAAAAATAAACTCTTCCCACTCGGAATTTAAAAACAAAACCATGGAAACATTTCTCTCCATCCTTATGTTTTGCAAAAAGTTATTTTAACAAATTTAAATTTGGGGCCTGATTTGACCGGCTGGTGCCCTTTGAAATAGTTGAATTCAGGCCACGGCCGCAACCATGTCGAAGCCAGGGCTCAAGCTTCAGCTTGCCTGACACCTGCGCCAGCACCCGGGACATTAAAACCCCCTCCTCAGCCGAGGGGTCAGTGGTGGTCAGCCTCTCCCCGATTCCTGGTACTTGCAGGCACAGGAGATGTCGCACAGCATGCAGCAGCTTGCTTCTCTCCCCTGCGTTTTTCATGGCCGGGGATGGTACAGACAGGTTGAAACCACTGCCATCTTAGTAGCATCACCAGAGACTGTCCCATACGCCTCTGCCCAGCAAAAGCTTCCTGAGAAGCAGTGACTACTGCTTAGATAAACTCTGGGGTGTCCCTGCATGGCCCTACCTGCACCTGACCCAGCATGAACCCTCTCCTCTCCGTGCTTGTGGCGCAAGGTCTATTTATTTCCTCGGAAAAAAACAGGCTCTCACGGTGTCATTCTTTCCAGCCGCTTTCCACACAGCATCGCATTTCGCGGTGACTTCCAGCTGGTGCTTGAGAAGAAAAAGCCACTCGACACGCACCCGTCCTGCCTGGGTTGCGAGGCAGGTTGGGGAGCGGAGAGGAAGAATGGGGATTGTGTCCCGTGTCAAGAGGCGAGGAGGACGGATAGGGCTGGCAGAGCAGAGGGGTTTGATCTTATGGACTCAGATGGGCTGCTAAGGGGCCAGGAACTGGGTCTACTTTTGCAGCATCACCTCTGGTTTTATCTTACTGTGAGCCCCAGGAAGGAAGGGGCCATGGTGGGAGCTGAGCCCGCAGCCCTGCGGTGGGACTGGCCCAGGGTGGGGGGCTCAGCAGGTTTCCATCCAGCTCTGCAGGCCCAATTCAGCAAAGCCCTTAAGCTTGTCCTGGTAATTAAGTTTGTGCTTAAGGGCTTTACTGAATTGGGGCCTTTGCTGGCGCAATGACAGCTGCTGTAGATACCAGGGGGAGAGCGGAGCGGGCAGCGATGCAGTGGAGGAAAGGACGGAGGATATGGTCAACATCTCTGGCTTGAGAAACATAAAATATGATGACCATGTTTTCTCCATAGTTTTCCTTGCTTTTCTTCTCTGTTGCTAAAAGTAGCGCAGCTCGCTGGTCCTGTGTCCATCTTGGCCAGTGTTTCACCCAACACCTGGTCCTGGCAGTGCCCCAAGTAGCCTACAGGCTTCCCAGGCTTCTGTCCCTCGGGGCTGGTCTCCGTGACGGGGACAAGGGGAAGGCAATGCCCGCAAAGCTCTTCCCTGACTTTCTGTGTGAACGCAGCACAAAAATGATGGAGGATGGGAAGAGGGGCAGAGGAAGGGGGTATAAAAGCAGCCTGTGGCTCACTTTCTGTGCTGTTAAAAAACTAGCGATTGGCTGGGGTTCGTTTTTTCCTGGAGCCAACAGCCAAGAGGCTGAAAAAGGACCATCTTTGCTGTTCCCTGGCCCTCTCCCTTGCCCACTGCTCCCACCAGAAGGGCAGAGTTTCACAGCCATTTTGTAATAAGGTAAAGTCCACTGAGCAGCAGAGAATTGGGCTCAAAACCACGGGGCATTAGGGTTTGATGAGAACCTCGCATGGCTTAGATGTCCCACTAGCACCTCCTTCAGGTTCCTGCAAAAGGAAGCATCATCTCCATC